CCTCCTCATCCCTTGGTAGGAATGCCTCTTCTGTACCATAGAATTCTGACCTTTTCTTGTGCTAGCACTTACCGCCCAGTATTTAATCATGTGTTTAGCTGTCACTGTCCTCCACTGAACAGCACATTGCTTAACAATGGCTATGTGTCACTCTAGTTCAGTCTTCCTTTAAATTGGAAAGTGAAATAACTAAGTGGATACTTTTAAAAAAACAAATTTATTTCAATACTGTGTTTGTCTCTAGGCACTATAGAAGGCACACATTAAAAGATAGTACAGTGAGTCATAGGGTGAGCATCCATATTGTCATATTTGATCTCACATTCACTTACCTGAGTCTCTAATGAGATATTACACGATATCAAGATGCTGGAAATAACACCCATGAGAGATAACAAAAAATGGAATTTAGAAACCAGGGAACGAGAGTTCCCTGACACTGGAGGTATGCAAGCAGAAGCAAATGGTCACTTGGTGAGAACGATATGAAGAGATGGGGAAGGGAGTGGGATCACTTCCTGGAAAAGTGAAAAATGCATTCACATATTAGGATCATATAGAAGAAGAAATATTGTTTTCTGAGCCGTCAGAGGGCAGAACTGAAACCAAGAGGTGGAAAGAAAGATTCAACACAAAGAACTGTTTTGTTTTTTGTTTGTTTGTTTTAATCACTGTAGCTCACCCAAATAGAATGGATTTTCCTGAAAGACAGTGAGTTCTTCATTAGTGTTGATCCATGGAGGTTAGATGATCATTTGCCTGGGATAATGCGAGAATATATTATTCACTCACCCACTTGCTTATTCACTTACTCTCCTCTTTTGTTCTTGTGCACCTATTACTTGCCTGACCCTATGCCAGGAACATAAGTTCCAGTAAGCAGAGATCTGACTTTTAAGGAGCTTATAAATAGATACATTACACAACTCAGTTTTTTAAGTCTTTAAGAACTAGAATTGAGTCTTTAAGAACTAGAAGTTTTCCAGATGAGGAAAGAGTGAGAAGCAATGTTCTAGATATGGAAAATAGCATGTGCATAGATGCAGAAATGGCTGAATCAGAGAAATTTTAAAAAGTCAACATAGTGAGGGACAAGGGTATAAGAATATGTTTGAATCAGCCTAACAATATACACTGGGGTTGAAGAAGATCACAAGACTTCCTCTATTTTTGAAATCCTCTGATTCTGATATCATTCATTCTATAGTACTAAGAAACAGACAAATATTTCCAGAGAATCGTCATTTATTCAGGGAACCCCTGGAGCCCCAGGCCAAGGCCCCTAGTGGCAGAAGTAGCAAATATAATGATATCTTTTAAAAACAAAAAGAAAAAAAGATTGACCTTGGGGATGGTAAACCACTCATATTCACATTAGGATCTGAAAAACAACAGCAGCAACACAACTAGAAGTCAACTAAAAGTTCCCAAATTTCTATTCATTACCAACATTATTGGGCAAAGGATGCCAAAACATATGGATTTTTGAGAAGGAGTCTCGCTCTATCACCAAGGCTGGAGTGCAGTGGCATGATCTCGGCTCACTGCAAGCTCCACCTCCCGGGTTCATGCCATTCTCCTGCCTCAGCCTCCCAAGTAGCTGGTACTACAGGCGACCGACACCGTGCCTGGCTAATTTTTTTTTGTATTTTTAGTAAAAACAAGGTTTCACCGTGTTAGCCAGGATGGTCTCGATCTCCTGAGACCTTGATCCACCCACCTTGGCCTCCCAAAGTGCTGGGATTACATGTGTGAGCACCATGCCCGGCCGGAATATAAATATTTTAATGATCCAATGCAAGTCATATACATAAAGAGGTAGCAATAAATGAAATTGTTCTAGCTTGACAACGCCTTTTACCTTAGCCCTACGTGATCTAATCATTATAAGTTGGGCCATAATTTCTAGATCAGGTTGCTTTTGGACCACTGCAGAGCAGAGTGGCAAAACACATAATCATTTGCTGCCAGTTTCAGGGAGCTTGACTTATGCCCTTGAAAGACAGGTTTCAGAACTGGAATCTTGTAGGCGTAGACCCTCGGAATTAGACAGGATACTAAATTACAGTGTAAATTGGTAGTTAAGAACTCAGGAGTATTACATTATTTTAAATCCTTAGCCTCTTTCCACCATATAAATTTGAGTAAGTCAGTGAGTCTCTGAGTCTAGTTTTCTTATCAGCAAAATATGAAAAATAATCCCACCCTCCTGAGTATTAAATGAGATAACATATAAATATCTCTTATGTACATACCTGATGCTCAATTAATGTTAATTATTATTATTAATCTCAACAATAATTAGTGGCATCCAATCTTTGAGAATGTATGCTTCAAGAAAAGAATTTTTTCTCGGAGAGAAGAGGACTCTAAACAGAACTTGAGAATCCATGTATCCAGATGAAAAAGTTCAAACTGAAGCAAAATAATAATAACAATAATAATAAATATATGAGGCTGTGTCACACTTGGTATTTTAAAATGTCATATCAATGATGTAAACTGTGAATACTTTTAAAAATGTTATTTGTGCAAGGTTTACTGATTAAAAACTCAAACCTCAGGGAAAGAAATAAGAATCAAAGTGATCTTGAAAAATCTGAATGACTGGAGAAGAACATGTTTGCTAAAACCAGGGAAGAAATCAATAGGAACAAGGGCACTATGATATTGTTCGGGATAACAGCAGCAACACACCTCTTCAAAAATGCAGAGGCCCATGTAAATTTGGGCCTAAAAGGAACAAGATTGTATTATTGGTCCAGTGAAAAAGAAACAAACTCACAGAGCATATCTGCTAAACTAGAAGGAACTCTGGGCTTGGCAAGAGGTGCTCTTGGCTGGTCCTATCTCTATGCTAACTTCAGTATGACTTTGGGCCAGTCCCTTCTTTTATGGGGTTCATCTCTAATGTATAAGTGCTAGATAAACAAGTTTCTAAGGCTTTTCTAGTCCTAAAATGTTGTGTTCCTCTTTTTTAAAAAAGCACGAAGTAACTCATATATCTCACTCTGTGTTGGTTAATTTCCATTAGATTTAATTCATCACTTATAATCACAGCTCTTTGAAGAAATGCTAAAACAATAATAATAGATACTGTTTACTGAATGCCTGTTTGTACCTGCAACAGCCCTGATAGGTAGAGAGATAGGTATACTCATTTTATTGAGAAGAAAGCTAAGGTTCAAAGAAGTTAAGTGACTTCCCCAAGTTATCTAGGTAACCTAGGTAGACTTGAGATTTAACCCGTTTTGTCTAACTGCAAATCTTTTGGTCCTTCCCATTTGTCCATGTACTTTCCTTAATGCACTGAAAAAAAATTCAGAGGATGATTAGAATGATGAAACATGTAGAAATCTTATGCTGTAAAGGAAACGTCCAAGAAATTTTGGCTGTTCACTTGGTTCTCAGATCAAACATCAAAGTATATTCCAATTGATTAAGGATTAAATGGCTAAAAATTAAACTATAGTTTGCTACAGGAAAACATGGGTAATTTGTTAAATATATTGATGAAGAGAAGTTATAATCTAAAACTCAAGAGCCAAAAAAGAAAAGGAAATTAAATAAGACTTCACTAAATATTTAAAAACTCACTCTATGATAGGAAGTAATGTACAAAAGAAAAGTCAAAATACAACAGTACAAATAACAAACTAAGAATATTTGCAATCATTACCTAAGAAGAAGCAATAACATTCTTCATTTGCAGATAATGTTTTGAAAGAGCAAATTGCCTAAACAACAAAAACAAAATAAATAAAAAGGGATTTTATGTAAAAAAAAGTTCAAATATCCAATAAACATATAAGAAGATGCTTAACCTTATAATTGAAGAAACACAAAATTTAAAAATAAAATTGTTTACCTATCAGAATGGAAAGTCAAATGTTGAAGTATATGTAACTACTACAAGAGTGTGAGGAAGTTGAAAATCATATATTATTTGTGGGCATGTAAATTAATACTACACTTTTACAGGCAGTCTGGCAATACCCATCAAAATTTCACATTCATACTCTTTACTCAACAACTTACTGTTAGATGATATTTATTACCTCGTCGTTTATAATAGCAAAATAGTGAAGCTACCTAGCTATCAGCCATGCTACTGGTAAAACAAATTGTTTTTCATTGAACAATAGAACACTCATAGCTATTAAAAAGAATGAGATTAATGGGAAGAAATATGTAAATTAGAAAGCTCGCTAAGATATATTAGTAAGTGGAAAAAATCAAGGTGTAGAACATGATCTTATTTGTATAAAATTTTAAATTATCTATTTTATAAACTGGCTTATATTCATAACAAAAATAATTAGTAGTATATACAAGAAGCCATTAACATGGTTACCTTTGTAGAGAATAATAGGAGGTAGGGGAGCCTTTTATTTGTATGTCTTTTCACTGTGCCTTACTTATGATATATGGACATGATGTGTGTATATTAATTTTATTTTTCATATCAATACATTATCTGGGCAATTGGATTATGGCCTGTTTTTGTTTTCTTATTTATTAGTTTCTATATGTTTAATGAATAAATAATTATTTGAAAATGTACAATAGCAAATTTTAAAAAACAAGTAATGTATATACCCTTTCACCAAGAAGTCTTTCCAGGAAATTTATCCTTCAGAAACACTTTTATAAGTGTTTATAGTAGCAGAAAAACTGGAAACAACCTTAACCACATCAAGAGGGATCTCACTGAAAAGTGCTGGCACATCCGTAACATAGAATACTAGGCTTTCATTAAAAAGGTAGAGTGATATGAGGTGATATGATAATGAAAGATGTCCAAGATACATTGCTCGATGAAAAGCAAAACAAAAGCTGTCAAATTATATATGATATGACCTATTCAGTTAAGTAAAACGGCAATAATATATTAAAATATGTATGTAAGGAGAGCAAGAGAAATGGAGATAAAGTCATGTGCTTGCATGTGCATATAGTGAATCTTTAAAAAGTACACACAAGCTGGAGGAGGAGGAGGAAGGAGGCGGGAAGAGGAGTTGCTGGAGGAAAGGCCAGCGCAGCCGTCGCACCGGTCCTGGGCGAGGAAGTGGAGCCCGGCCGCCTTCGGAGACGGGCTCTTCCTGTGTTGCCCAAGCGGGTCTTGAGCTCCTGGGCTCAAGTGATCTACCCACCTCGACCTCCCAAAGTGCTAGGATTACAGGCGTGAGCCACCGCGCCTGGCCGACCATCTCATTCCATCATGACAGAAGTGAATCCCCTCCATTTTGATCCCTTGGATTAGGTAACTAGTCGTAATGAAGAAAATAGTCTTAAAACCTTCTGGAAATCTTTTAACTTGAATAAAAGTGAAAAATAAACTGATTTCATGGTAGTACAACAACCATCGCTAGCCAGTGACTTTGGAAAGATAATTCCTTATTTGGTAGCTGCTATGGTAAAGATACAGCCAGCTGCGATATCAACAGGGAAGATGAAAAAGGCGGGAAAAAAAACAGATCAAAAAGCAAAAGCTTGATGGGTACGTTAAAAAGGCGGCTTTCTGCCAAACAGAAGCCAAAAGGCAAGGTGGGCACACCCTCTGGGAGCTCTGCCGATAAGGACACCTTCTCCTCCTCCTCAGCACCGATAATCTTTAAAGACATGAGAGCTCAGAGGCCAATAAGGCCACCTGCCTCTGCAGCCATCACTGCGGTCCCATGCCGTGGCCTCTTCAGCCCACAAACTCTGAGGAGACGTGCATCAAGATGGAGGTGAGAGTCAAGATCACTCTTCCAGCCCGAGTCCACCCCTGAATGGCGTCCGGAAGGATTTCCACAACCTTCAGTCTGAGACCGCGTGCCAGGAACAAGCCAATTCACTGAAAAGCTCAGCTTCTCAGAACGGAGACCTGTATCTTCGCCTGGATGAACATGTGCCTGTCGTTATTGGACTTCTGCCTCAGGACTACATTCAGTATACTGTGCCTTTAGATGAGGGGATGTGTCCTTTGGAAGGATCACGTAGCTATTGTCTGGACAGTTCTTCTGCCATGGAAGTCTCTGTGGTTCCTCCTCAAGTGGAAGGGCGCTCTTTCCCTGAAGATGAGAGTCAGGTAGTCCAGGACCTAGTTGTTGCCCCAGAGATCTTTGTGGATCAGTCCATAAATGGGTTGTTGACTGGCACTACGGGAGTCATGTTGCAGAGCCCGAAAGTGGGTCATGGTGATGTCCCTCCACTCTCACCATTGCTACCTCCAATGCAGAATAATCAAATCCAAAGGAACTTCAGTGGACTTACTGGCACAGAAGCCCACGTAGCTGAAAGTATGCTCTGTCATCTGAATTTTGATCTTAACTCTGCTCGTGGTGTTGCAAGAGTTTATGTCTCAGTGCAAAGCAGTGGTCCCATGGTAGTGACAAGTCTTACAGAGGAGCTGAAAAAACTTGCAAAACAAGGATGGTACTGGGGACCAATCACATGTTGGGAGGCAGAAGGGAAGCTAGCAAGTGTGCCAGATGGTTCTTTCCTTGATCAGGACAGTTCTGAAGAGTGTTATCTTTTAAGCTTGAGCTTTCGCTCCCATGGTGAAACACTTCACACTAGAATTAAGCACTCAAATGGTAGGTTTAGCTTTTATGAACAGCCAGGTGTGGAAGGGCATACATCCATAGTTGATCTAACTGAGCATTCCATCAAGGACTCTGAAAATGGAGCTTTTTGTTATTCAAGGTCTCAGGTGCCTGGATCTGCAACTTACCTTGTCAGACTGGCCAAGTCAGTGTCTTGGTTCATGCAGGTGCACTTGTTGCAATACCTGTGTCGTTTTGTTATATGTCAGTATACCAGAATAGACTTAAGTCGGAAACTGCCTTTGCCAAACAAAATGAAGGATTATTTACAGGAGAAGCACTACTGAAAGATTGAGAACCCTGCGTCTTGCACTTTGGGAATAAGAAAAAGAGATCGAAGTACAGTTTACAAACTTTCATTGCCATCAAAATCTTTTGCTGCCACAACTAGTTCAGTTTTATGTGTAAAAGAGTCATCAGCGGTGGTTCACGCTGTAATCCCAGTACTTTGGGAGGCTGAGGCAGGTGGATCATGAGGTCAAAAGATTGAGACCATCCTGGCCAACGTGGTGAAACCCTGTCTCTACTAAAAATACAAAAATGGGCGTGGTGGTGAGTGCCTGTAGTCCCAGCTACTCAGGAGGCTGAGGCAGGAGAATTGCTTGAACCCGGGAGGCGGAGGCTGCAGTGAGCTGAGATTATGCCACTGCACTCCAACCTGGGCAACAGAGCGAGCCTTTGTCTCAAGAAAAGAAAATCATCAGTTTGTTTAGGGGTGAGAAGTGTCAGCAAGGTATCTTGGATTTATTTTGGTTCTCTAAAAAGGGAAGTCTTGAGGGTTTAGAAGTGTGAATTATCTTTCATCAATGTGCAGAGTAATCACAATGTGAATTATCAAATTCTCCTCAATGTCCCTCCGCCCCGCCCAGTCCTTTGCTGCTATCTGCTGTGATTTTGTGCATTAAATAGAATGGAAATTGCTATGTCTTTTTTTTTTTTTAATTATACTTTCTAGGGTACATGTGCATAACGTGCAGGTTTGTTACATATGTATACTTAATGCTATGTCTTTTTAACGACACTTTTTTCTAAATTATTTCTTAGGTTGTGCTAATTTTGTTGGTTGTGAAAAGTTGAGCTTTTCTGTTGCCTTCATTTTCATCTTATAGTTTGCCTATTTTAATAAATGGTGTTACATTAAAAAATTGTAAAGAAATGTTTACCACCAATTTAGAAATTGTTGCCTTTTCTGTCATTAAACTCGGATACAAATTGCTATAACATGAAAACCTATGGAACTAGAATTATGATTAAAGAAATATTAGATGAATCATAAAAGAAAAAAGTATACACTAAAGTGGTCAGCTCTAGAAATGGAGATGGTGAGGGGACTTTTACCTCTTCCTTTTAAACATTTCTGAAACAGAATGCATTTGCCATGATCACGTAATATTCTTTTATAAAAAGTTAACCTTAACTGTTTGACAGAATAAATTATTTGGCATGTGAAGTTTGTGGAATTCAGCCTCCTATAGGTAGTAGCCTGGATCAAATTGCCTTTCCTGTCTCTTCTGGCCGGCAGAGTCATACTTCTGACTCATCAATAGCCTAGACAGTCTCTGAAATGACTGTATCTACCAAGGAATAGATCTGGAATTTTATAGTTTAAGGGGACTTTAGACTCATGTAGCCTAACAGTCCCTTCCCTCCTAGAGAGGAGAAAAATTGAGGCTCAGGGAAGTAGTATGGCTGTCAGTCAGAAGAGAGTGGCACAACCAGATCAGGCCTAGCTCAGTGGACTCCCCAATGTTACCATGTAATCAATGCTTTCTGTAAGGAGTTCACCACACTAGAAAGCCAGGGATGAGGCAAGGAAAATTACCAAAGAGAATAAGGAGATGTTAACAAAGTTATTATGTGAGGATGAGGATGTGGAATTTAAGCATATAGATGTCTCAGACCTGATGGGGAAACAAAGTAGTAACCCCCATCTACCACCCAATGTCATTGTCAAATAGGATTGATGAAAAGCAAAATACAATTATATATTTTGAATGTATATAAGCTAATCAGTTCTTTTATTCTTCTTTCATAGCCCATGTCAACCTGCCCCATGAACAAAAGGAAGCAGAATTCTGCTATCCTGCAAAAAGCTAGTTTTTTGTAGGTTAGAAAACCATACCTACTGTGTGTTCATCAGAAAAACTTATTGGGGGTTTATCTTGTCTCCCTTTGTGCTCCAGTCATTGTCCCTCTTCTGGGGCAGACAGAGAACTCTGTCATTGGAGAGCACTTATTAATTACATTGTATTGACTTAGACTGAATTGATTTAAGAAAAATTTTAGCATTTGCTTCTTATTAAATTTGACTTAAGAATGATTTTCACCCTGGCAGAATTTGGAACTTTTAAGATGTTCTGTTTCTCTTTCGGTATAGGACCTAAAATGGGAGTTAGCAATAGCTAATTAAACTCCGAGCACTCTTTATTTCATTTTTGTCAGAATTCATTCTGGAATTGTATATGAGAAATAGGACAGTCAAGTATATTTTAAAACAAGGCTTAGGACTGTCTTACCAGGCTCAGAATGACAAGGCTAGGCAACTGACCAAAGAGAGGGATTTTGCAACCAGCTGGCCCCATTTTATACCATGTCCCCAGAATCTCTTCTGAATGTTTTAATCTTTCAGCATATATTTGTCTATTACATTACATGTGTCTCTATCATCCTGTTTTCCCTCTAATTTTGAAGGCTCATATTTATCCCTATTTACCCTAGAAATCTAGGAAGCTCACAGAGGCATATTAAATGCATACACTAGAACATGGATAGATAAAAATGTTTCCAACCTGGTCAGACCATGGCACAAACACCACAAGATGAAATTTAATGTCTCTCCTAACTAAAAGTGATTAAGACCATGAAAGTCCATAAACACCTGAGCAGGATACAAGGAGTTTCTGAGGCATGTGATACAATGTTAGACAGCCTGGTTTGGGGGACAATTTTCTCTTCTATCAGAATAATATGCCTTATGAAATACCAAAATTCTCTGGCTTCCTTTCTTTCAGGTGAATGGCATTGACCTCCGTGGTGCATCCCACGAACAGGCAGCTGCTGCACTAAAGGGGGCTGGACAGACAGTGACGATTATAGCACAATATCAACCTGAAGGTCAGTCAGAACTCAAACTAATAATGTTCTGATATGTCTCTGTGTGGATCTGTACCCTCATTACTAATCATTTATATTAGCTAGAGTCACCATCATTGGTGTTTTGTAAACCTACCTATAGAGAAAAATTGATGGTTCATGTCCAAAGAACATGAACCATGGCTTTGTTACCTCTAATCTTCCAGGAAAATATCAGGCAGTTAGAAAGGCCTATGAAAATGTGAATTCAAATAAATAGCAACCAGCATCAGCTTTATTTCATTTATATTCTTATCTGGTACGCACTTTCAGTCACCAATGGATGCTGTAAAAACAGTTAAGACTTAAGAAGCAAAGGGGAGAGATTTCATCTACAGAAATAGACCAGTAGACCATATTCTCTCCTCATGGCATTAACTTAATTCTCATTAACACTAACATGGCTTTTGGAGGTTCTTGATTGGGATTTTCTTTACCTTTACTCCTACAATATCCCTTGTTTGAAATAAATCACTGTAAACCGTGAGACTCGGTGAGATCATATAAATTGGATTAGCCAACTTAAACTTGATGAGATATCCTAAATTGGATTATCCATGCCCTGCTCTTTGGTTTATTTAAACATCTGTTTCTGTGTTTAAAATGAGGCTTAATGAGACAACTGGTATGTTACTTATTGTATGGTTGATTTCTTAAAACATGCATATATAGGTTGCTCCTTTGGAAATGAAATGTACTTAATGTAAGCACACAGTTATGGGTCAGATCTTGTTATTAAAAAAAAATAAGAGGAATATGGCTACTGTCTTCAAGAAATGAAGTGCATTGCTTTTGGTCCACATTGCTAGCAAAGAGGAGTGTTAAACAGCTGAACATGAGACTACAAGATGTCATCAAGGAAGAGCCTCTGTGCGTATGAGTATTAGGAGCTCCTTTTCAAGTGATGATTTGTTAGTATCAATGGGTCTATTGTTGTTTGGAAGCCTGAGGTTTGTGTCTTGCCTGTGACAGCTTAGATCTTATTAATGGTGGCCAATCACATGCTCTGCCCATGAATAAAAAAATATTTTCTTCCATGCATGTTTTGACATGTTACTTTCAGTTGTGCCTGGCTTGAGAATTAGAATTTGCAATTAATCTATTCCAAAGTTTTAATAAATGTTTTCTTCTATGTGGCCTAGGCCAGATATGGCCAGAGACTGGGGAAGAGGGGATTTGCGATGGTGACAGATGGATGATGACAACACCAAGGAAACATTTTCTTCTCAGATAGTTTTGAAAAGTCTTTCTATTTGTTAAATATTAGTAGACTTGTATTTTAGTAGGGATAAATGCTTTAAAAAGTATCCATTGTAGCCCGCGCACGGTGGCTCATGCCTGTAATCCCAGCACTTTGGGATGTCAAGGCGGGCAGATCACAAGGTCAGGAGATCAGGACCATCCTGGCTAACATGGTGAAAGCCCGTCTCTACTAAAAATACAAAAAATTAGCCGAGCATGGTGGCGAGCACCTGTAGTCCCAGCTACTTGGGAGGCTGAGGCAGGAGAATGGCATGAACCTAGGAGGCGGAGTTTGCAGTGAGCCAAGACTGTGCCACTGCACTCCAGCCTGGGCCACAGAGCAAGACTCCGTCTCAAAAAAAAAAAATATATATATATATATATACACACACACACACACACACACACACACACACACACACACCCATTATAAAACTGAAAATTAAAAGATATATGCTAGCACCATTTGATTAACAAATTCTACTTCATATAGAGTAAGAACTTTTTCATCAGAATGTTCCATTTTCTTAATAGCTGGTTTTTTTCAGTCTCAAACTGTATACCCTTCACCATTACCTGACATGCAGCATAAACGTCCCTGTTTTCCTGTTTCTGAAAAATCTCATCTCAAACAATTCTGCAGACAATAAGATGGTTAGAACCATGGATACAGCAATTAGAAGCTCTTGATAATGATTTTAAGCTTTAAAGTTTACAGAAAAGGACAAACATGTCCCTGTTCTATCAATATAAACCTTCATCTTTCTGCTGGAGCCTCCTTAGCACTTGCGTTTCCCCTTCTTAAGCAATAGGTTTAATTTGGATATTATTCTGCTAGTTTATCAAAGATGGCTTGTTAAAGGCAACGTCCTATAAAATCTATAATTCGATTTTTTAAAGTGTTGTTGTACAAGAACCTACCAAATAACAACAGGCTTTGTTGCAAATGCCAAAAGTACAGATTGGATTCACAGAATGACTTCTCTGCTTTTTAATAGCCTAACTGTATACTAGTTTGGTCGCAGCTTTAAATTAGCTGGAAATGTGGTAATGGCAACATCAAGCAATCAGACTATTTTTTCCTCTCCTATCC